ATGAACATTTTAGGCAGAACCTGATCCACTAATCTACAGGCAGTTAAAAATAAAACGATCGACAGGCACCGGTGGCTCACGCCTGTAATCCTAGCTACTCAGAAGACTGAGATCTAAGGATTGCAGTTCAAAGCCAGCCCGGGAAGGAAAGACCGTGACACGCCTATCTCTAATAAACCACTAGAAAACCGGAAGTGGCGCTGTAGCTCAAGTGGTAGAGTGCTCGCCTTGAGCTGAAGAGCTGAGGGACAGCGCCCAGGCCCAGAGTTCAAGCCCCGAGACTGACCAAAAAATAAGTAAATATAAATAAATAAATAAACGATCACCTTACAATAAAGCTTCAATTAGTATGTAGGAGTCTTGGAGTTCATTACCAGCACTTAAAAAAGGTAATGCTTCAAAGTTAACTTGAACAAGATATGTTAGTCTTATGCAAATATGCTGGATTTAAATCTGCAGTAATTAAGAACCCAGTTCTATTTCTGACTTGAGACACTGTACAAATCATTCTTTTTTTTTAGACTAGTGAAAATTATTTTTTTATTGTGAAAATACCATACAGAGGGGTTACAATTACATGGGCGAGGTAATGAGTACATTTCTTATCAAGCATTGTTGCCTCCTCCTTTGTACAAATCATTCTTTTGTCCAACCTTTCCCTCCTAGAGCAAAAGGTTATGCGAATATAAAATTTGTTAGTGTAGCAACTAGCAAAGAAGAGGGACAAATGCAGTAAGAATATTCAATGTACATCTGTGATCAGGGCAGCAGAAAACATGAAATGAGTCTAGGTGGGAGGGAACAGACAAGATGCGGTAGACTGATAGAAGGGATGACTCTGATCAAGAAGCACTGGACACTTAGATGAACATGTTGATTGTAACAACCTACCTAAGTTCAGGGGGGAATAAAAGGAAGACCAGCAGAGATTTCTCTCAAATTTTCATGACCACAGAGGAATTTTAATTTAAACTTCACAAATACCATGATCATATCATGTTCTTGCTCTACTTAAATAGTAAATTCAATCTCTTTTTCTTCCTTGTATGTCCTTTTAACAACTTCTTTCCCAAAATTATGAAAAGGCTCTTTCTCAAAATCCTAAACAAAAAATCCAGGAAGGAATCCTGATTGTGATGATCTTTGTAGGCAAAATGCCTAAAAGCACAAGGATCTGAAATGACTTGTGATAAAAGCTACTTGTTTCCTTTCTAATATGAGAAACCTGGATGAATGGGAGAACAGTAAGAAACCCATAAAAAAGAGGAGAGGGCTAAGATTGTAGGCAAACCTACTATGCCTGAAGCTGGGGTCCATTACAAAAAGAAAACAGGGGCTAGGAATGTGGCTTACTGGTAGAGTGCTTGCATAACATACATGACACCCTGGGTTTGATTCCTCAGTACTACATAAACAGAAAAAGCCAGAAGTAGAACTGTGGCTCAAAGTGCTAGCCTTGCATTGAACATAAAGAAGCTCAGGAAGAGTGCCCAGGCCCTGAGTTTAAGCCGAAAGAAAGAAAGAGAAAGAGAGAGAGAGAGGGAGGGAGGGAGGGAGGGAGGGAGGGAGGGAGAGAGAGAGGGAGAGAGAAAGAAAGAAAGAAAGAGAAAGAAGGAAGGAAGGGAGAGAGAGGGGGAGGGAGGGAGGAAGGAAGGAAGGAAGGAAGGAAGGAAGGAAGGGAGGGAGGGGGGAAGGGGGGAGAGGGGGAGGGAGGGAGGGGACAGAAAGAAAGAAAGAAAGAAAGAAAGAAAGAAAGAAAGAAAGAAAGAAAGAAAGAAAGAAAGAAAGAAAGAAAGAAAGAAAGGAAGGAAGGAAGGAAGGAAGGAAGAGGAAGGAAGGAGGGAAGGGAAGGAAAGGAAGGAAGGGAGGAAGGGAGGGAAGGAAGGAGGGAGGGAGGGAAGAAGGAAAGAGAGAGAGAGAGAAAGGGAGGAAGGGAAAAAAGGGGGGAGGGAGGAGGGAGGGAGGGAGAGAAGGCAGGCAGGCAGGCAGGCAAAGAAGAAACCCAGAAAAGGAATTAAGAAGCACAAAAGAGTAAACATACATCATGCCAGGTGTGGTGACATAGGTCTATAATCCCAGGACTCAAGATCAATTGGGAGGCTGAGACAAGAGGATATGATTTCCATGCTAGCCTAAATTAAACAGCAAGATCTTGTCTCAAAAAATAAAGAAAAAAGGTTAAACTAAGGAACAAAAGTCTATCATTGACAGAAAAGATACAAAAAGATTCTCCAACTATCAAATAAAACGTTGTGAACTCCCGCAGGCATAGCCTGCTTAAGTTTTTCCCAGACTAGGAGTATGTCTTATGTGGTAGAACACTTACCTAGTAAATACAAGGCCCTGAGTTCAACCTACTATATAGCCTAAAAAGGATCTTGTTTAGATTTTCCCAAAAAATATACTACAAAACTGCCCCCGGCCATGCGTTGGTGGCTCACGCCTGTAATCCTAGCTACTCAGGAGGCTGAGATCTAAAGATCGCAGTTCAAAGCCAGCCCTGGTAGGAAAGTCTGCAAGACTCTTATCTCCAATAAACCACTAGAAAACCGGAAGTGGTTCTGTGGCTCAAGCGGTAGAGCACCTGCCTTGAGCTGAAAAGCTGAAGGACAGCGCCCATGCCCAGAGTTGAAGCCCCACGAACCCCCCCCCCCCAAAAAAAAAACTGCCCCCAAAAAATGTCTACCTGAATTCCTGGAGGACCTTTCATTCTGCAGATGACTTTCTTTTTTTGGTGGGGGGCGGGGGGGGGGGGGGGGGGGGGGGGGGCGGTTCCGGTCGTGGGGCCTGAACTCTGGGCCTGGAGGCTGTCCCTCAGCTCTTCAGCTCAAGGCTAGCGCTGTAACACTAGAGCCACAGCACCACTTCCGGCTTTTTTCTCTTTGCTTATGTGGTGCTGAGGAATCGAACCCAGGGCTTCATGCATGCAAGGCAAGCGCTCTACCACTGAGCCACCTTCCCAGTCCGCAGATGACTTTCATTCAACTGAAAACTCCAAATTTCCAAAGACCACTTACCTCTTGTTCTTCATTATACACCATGAGAAGTCTTAACACTCTACTGAAAATGTTTCCATAAAATGGGATTCAATTTCCCTACTATGACCAATCCCTAATAGAAACACATTTGTTGTTGTTCCAAATACACCCGATTGGGCTGGGAAGGTGGCTCAGTGGTAGAGCACTTGCCTTGCATGTCTGAGGTCCTGGGTTCGATTCCTCAGCACCACATAAGCAAAAAGGAAAAAGCCGGAAGTGACACTGTGGCTCAAGTGGTAACGCTCTAGCCTTGAGCTGAAGAGCTGAGGGACAGCGCCCAGGCCCAGAGTTCAGGCCCCCACAACTGGTCGGAAAAAAAAAAATACACCCGATTAAATTTATGGATGGAAGGAATTTTAGTGGGCAACTAGCCAGGGAGTCCAAGAAACAATGACTAACTCCACAATCTCCACCAGCACCAGAACCACTCCTTGGCAGGAGTGGTTAACACATAAGCCCCATTCTCTCCAGGCTTCCTACCCTTGATCTGGTCTGGGTCCGTGAAAGGAAGGGGAAGAAATTACATACCCTGGCTCTGAAGTAATTCTAGCATCCTGAAAAGCTAGAGGATCACGGATAGTCAGTGCAAAGAAAGGCACAGAACTCACTAACCAAATTATAAAGATTCAGTTCACCTAAAGGAAATAAGACACCGAACGGGGTGCACTGAAGTCCTCACAATTTACTATCCCAGCACCCATCATGCACATGGCACATGCACTCGCGTGAATGAAACTGAAGAGAAACAAAATACATGACCTAAGACTTAATCCAAAATTCATTTCAAAGTTTCACCTGAAACTTTTAAAGGATTTGTCATACAGAGTCTAGACCTGTTTAACAAAAAACTATCTCTATAGGACTGGCTGGCCAGAAAGCCTCTGCCAGTGTACAAGAATTGGGAGTGGGTAGTCAGAAGGAAAAAAAAAAAAAAGATGAAAACTGTGGGAAAAAAAAGAAACATACTTCTCAATGTAACTTAAAAAAAAAAAAAGGCAATTTAGGACTCTATTTTAAGGCCTCTTCGTAGCAGAAGAATAGCTTATGGATTTCAAAGACTGGATTTCCTGCTCAAACTGCCCAGATTACTAAGCTGGTTCCGCCACTTAACAGCTGTGGGTGGGTATGCGTCAAGCTGTTCAAATTCCCCATTTCAGGGCTCTCACCTGGAAAATGGGACTGAATAGCACACATCATTCAGCTGTTAAAGGAAAAGGGGGGAGAATCCACGTAAAGCATCGACACAGTGAACGTTCCTCTAAAATACAAGATCTAACGATCTATCAAGTATACGCGTCCGCTTTGGAAAACTGACGTCTGAGGTATTTCGTAAAAGCATTTGATCCCCCCCCCTTCCACCCACGCTGCGGCACCCTCCCCTTCGAGAGGAGGTGGAAATCTCATTCATCCATCAGAGAGCTTCGTCGAACACTGTAAAGAAAGAGGAGATGCCCTTCTCAGTGGACTATTGCTCCTTCAACAACTTCAGAATTTAGTCACGTTCACAGCTGGTTGGAGCTGTCCGCAAAATGACAGCTGGCAGCTTTTCGGGGCCCGCAGAGGCGCGGGGTGGCTCTGCCTAGCAGGATTCGCCTCAATCCCGCACCCACCGCCCCTTGCTTGGCCGAGCAGGCGCGCGCTCGGGAACCCCGGGAACCTCGGGAGCACTCGGCGCGGGAACGGCCGCGAGTGTAGAGAACGAGAGCAGGCCGGGGGTACACCGGCCCAGGGGGGCGCTGGGGTTCGCGGGGTACACTCGACGAGGCACGCCCGCCCGCTGAGACCTGCGCGGCCCGGGCGCCTGGGACCGCCAGGGCAGTCCGGACAGGCAGCGCCGGCGCCCGGGCGCGCTCCCCATCCGCCCGCTCCGGTCCCCCTCAGCGCTCTCCCCGGGCCGCGCCCCCCGACCTCCTCCGCCCGCCTCAGCGCGCTCGGAGCCTCTGGGAACCCCGAGACCCTCACCTGAAGGCGGGTCCTTCCTTGGGCGCCCTGCCCTGGGCGGACGCCGCCGCCGCGCTGCCGCCACTGCCCCTTTTGTTAAAGAGCTTCTGGAGCAGGGTCGGGGCCATGATGCCGCGGTCGCGGCAGCTCCAGCCGTGGCGCTCGGGGAGGCCCGCGGCTCAGCGCGCAGCCGGGGGCGGCCGCGGCGGGGCCATCGCAACGGGGGCGTCGTCGGAGGCGCGGCCACCCGGTCTGGCGCGAGCGCGGAGCCGCTGCGGCTGAGGAGTGGTGGCTAAGTAGCGCGCTGTGGGCTGCGCGTTGGGACCGCCGGCGGCTGGTCATATGACTGAGCCGGCCCGCCGCCTCGCGCTGACAGTTAACCTCCCGCGGGAGGAGCCCGCAGCTCCGCGGCGAAGGCGGCGGCGCGGGAGGGGCGAGGGAGGAGCGGGGGAGGAGAGGGGGAGGAGCGCGAGGGCTCGGCGGCAGCTATTGGCTCACGGGTCTACGTCCCTGAAGGGGCGCGGCTTGACGCGCGAGGGAGCAGTGCTTAAAGGGACCGGGGCGGGGTCGAGGCGCTCTCAGGGAGCCGGGCGAGGCAACCCGGACACCTCGCGTAGCTCCTGATTAGGGAAAACCACTTTCTGGGCGGATCTTTGATCTTGGGAGACAAAGACTTTAAACTAGGGCTGGTACGGAACTCGCTTAATGGAATGTATGCAGGACGACAGGTTCAATGTTTGGAATTGCTGTTTGGCAGGGCTGGGACTGCAGTGACAAGGCTCGCTCTGAGATATTGGCTTGCACGGTATTAGCACGTTCCTGCCATAACCACAGGAGATTTCTCCGAGCTCTTACATGTTTAATTTAAACAACTTATGCAATCATTGTTCTGTTTGACTTTTGGGGCCACGCCATATCTTGGTTATGTAAAAAGCTGTATTTAAAATGGTTAGCCTTTAAATACAGAGAAAAGACTAAGTACGTAGTTTGAGAAACTTAAGACATGCTATTTTAAACAAGGGCTTGCTTTCCTAATTGGACAATCCTGACACATAAAAAATGTTATCAAAGGCAGATACTTGGTTTGTAGGTGGAAATGAGGTCATTTTCCTGCCGGTCCCACCGGAATACCCATGAGAATTCAGTGTTTTGTGGTGCCAGGCGCCAGAGCCTGAAGGTGTCACCACATTCAAAGCAGCTTCATAATCTTCTGTTCTCTAGCACGAGGCTCTAGTTTGGGGGATAGTGGATAATAGAGCTAAATAAAGTTGGAACTCAACCTCACCTCTTCCAGCTTCTTCATGAGTAAAACCTTGACTCATCTGGACTTTCTTAGATTTGATGAAAGCAGGACTTAACAATGTAGATGTATTTTCATAAATATGTGTAATCAAAAATATCAGGGGTATAGTTCAGTGATAGAGCACTCCTCTAGCAGTGGTCTGGGTTCATCCTCAGCAAGGTCAACAATGCGTATATTTTGAGTCGATTTTAATTTCCAGTACTGTTTTTTCTTTTGTGCCAGTACTGGAGCTCTCCCATTTTGGTTGATATGTTTTTTGGTTTTTCGGCCGTGGGGCTTGAACTCTGGGCTTAACTGCTATCCCTGTGCTCCTCAGCTCAAGGCGATTGCTCTACCACTTGAGCCACAGCGCCACTTTCAGGAGCTCTCCTTTTTTACTCGTCTGGCGCTCTACCACTTGGGCTACACATCCACTTCCTGCTTCTTGGTGGTTAATTAGATATGAGTCACATGGTCTTTTTCTATCTCGGCTGGCTTCCAACTGTAATCCTCAAATCTCAGCCTCCTAAGTAGCTGGGATTACAGGCAAGGACCACCAATGCCTGACTCCATTTTTTACTGTATAGATTTTATTGTGCAAATTCTGACCTTGTTAGAAACTCTCTTGAGATGATAATGTGCTTAAGTTTTACAAGGGTAAGATGGTAGAGACTGAAGTCTAGGGGAGATTTTTCCTTTTCTTTCTCTTTCTCTTCCTCCCTTCTCTTATTATTTCCCTTCCCTCTTTCCTTTCTTCCTCCCTCCCTCTCCCTCTTCTTCTCCCTCTCCTTCCCTCCCTTCCTCCCTCCCTCCCTCCCCCCCTCTCTCTGTCTCACAGACACTGAATCTGGGACCTTTCCTAATCACTTACCACTTGAGCTATGCCCCACAGCCTGTTGTTGTTGTTGTTTGGGGTTTGTTTTCAGTTTTGAAGCAGAGTCTCAAAAGTAGACCTCAAATCTTCCATCCTTCTGCCTTTGCCTCATGAACAGCTGGGATTACAGTTGTACAACACCATGCCCACCTGTTCAGTCATTTTATTCCTTGATATTTTTATTGTTAGAATGGTGAATTAAGAGTTTATGCTAGTAAGCACTTATTCTTTTGCACAACTAAATGTACACCAAGTCCTGATTTATAGATTTGCTGTCTCTTCCTCTGTTTAGTGAGAACCATTGCTTCCCAGGTATATGGTTATCAACTAGTATCCTGTGTTGTGAGTACTGGCCTCATCTTCTGTGACTCGGGACATATTAATGGCAGGCGACATATCACCTTTCTTTATCTCATCTTTGGTCAGAACATGGTCTTGTACTCTCCTAACTGAAGTTTGCATGCTGCTTTGTGTAACTGTTTTTGCTTTTTCTTTTTTTTTTGTCAGTCATGAGGCTTGAACTCTGGGCCTGGGCGCTGTCCCTCAGCTCTTCAGCTCTACCACTTGAGCCACAGTGCCACTTCCAGTCTTTTGAGTGGTTTATTGGAGATAAGAGTCTCAAGGACTTTTAGCACCCAGGCTGGCTTTGAACTGAGACCTCAGCTCTTGGCCTCCTGAGTAGCTAGCATTATAGGTGTAAGCCACCAGTGCCCAGCTTGCCTTGTGTAACTCATCTGCTTAATTTGACCTGACCTCCCTGTACTCATCTCAAAGATCTGTTTTCAGTTCTAGCCAGTTCAAGTGGATACCATCATCCAAGAGACATAGCTGAAAAGTCCTAGCTTGTTATCAGCTTTGATCCTGACTAGGCAACTGTAAGGGAACAATGCCTGTTGACAAGACTTTGAGCTAGGGAAAAAAAGAGGGAGCTAAAATGGTTTTCTTCTTCTCCTTTGCTTCCTTTCTATATCACATTTTTCCTCATGCTAGATCTGGCTATATACTTCCTGCTCTGTGTTTGGTTTTCTTTGTTTTGTTTTTCTCAATCATGGGGCTTGAACTCAAGTCAGGGCCTGGGCGCTGTCCCTGAGCTTTTGTGCTGAAAACTAGCACTCTAGCACTTTGAGTCACAGCTCCACTTCTGGTTTTCTGTGGTTAATTGGGGAATAAGAGTCATGTCATGGTCTCTCCTGCCTGGGTTGGCTTTGAACTGTGATCCTCAGATCTCAGCCTCCTGAGTAGCTAGCATTATAGGAATGAGCCACCTGGCCCTGAGGTTTTTAAAATGTACAAAAGTCCTAGCCAGTGAAGCTTGAGAGAGTGATCTAGACAAACTCTCCCTGTCTCGTCATTTTTTTTTTTTTTTGGTCCAGTCATGGGGCCTGAACTCTGGGCCTGGGCACTGTCCCTCAGCTCTTCAGCTCAAGGCTAGCGCTCTACCACTTGAGCCACAGTGCCACTTCCGGCTTTTTTCTTTTTGCTTATGTGGTGCTGAGGAATCGAACCTAGGGCCTCAGGCATGCAAGGCAAGCGCTCTACCACTGAGCCACCTTCCCAGCCCAAATTTTCTTTTTTTTTTTTTTTGTCGGTCGTGGGGCTTGAACTCTGGGCCTGGGCACTGTCCCTCAGCTCTTCAGCTCAAGGCGAGCGCTCTACCACTTGAGCTACAGCACCACTTCCTGTCTCGTCATTTTTGTTGGGTATTCAATGTCTCCAAAGAAACCCAATTATTTTTTATTTATTTATTATTTATTATTTTCATTTTTTGCATAACTGAGATTTGAAGTCAGTCCCTCTTATTTGCTTGTCTGGGACTTTGCCACATGAGTAATGCCCAATGCCTCCAGCCCTGCTTTTTGCTGGTTATTGTGGAAATGGAGTCTCTCAGACATTTCTGCCCAGGCTGTCTTTGAACTGCCATGCTCCTGATCTCAGCCCCTAGCTAAGATTACAAGTGTGAACCACAGTACTTGGCGAAAAAATAATGATGGGTTTTGTTTTTGTTTTTCTTTTTGTTTTGCCTATCATCCACTAGTCACTCCCTCATCCCTGGGGCTTGTCATAGTCCTAGGCTCCAGAACTGACCATGTGACTCTACATTGAATTTTCAGAGAAGCAGTATATAAATCAATATTTTGAATGTTTGGAGATGACAGAACACCACAATGGAAAAGGGCATTGGTAAAGGTCTGGTGTACATATACTGGTCTATTCTGATTTATGGAGTCAGTACCCAATTAATGTATATTCTGAACACTGTTTTAGTTTGACCTCTATCCAGGTGTGGTGGACACCATAAGTGGCCTGCCCAGTATGTGAAAACCCCTTTTTCCTAACAAAGGCAGCAAGAAGAAAAGCAGCTGGAAGAGAAAAAGTAATTCTAGAAAAAAAAAATCCTGTTCTTTATAGAGATAGAGATGTTGGGATTTGTTTTTTGATGTTGTACAACTAGATATACTGCTACAACTATCTTGACACAAGCCTACAGATGAAGCTAAGAGTAGGGACAACAGAGCAGAAAGGTGGCATTAATGGCATTAGGGACCTAGAATCACCCTGTCCTAAGTTGATAATCTTTAGATGAGATCATTTTTATAATTTTTATTGAGATTAAATGATTACATAAATTTCACAAATTTCACAGTATTGTAGGATAATGATACTTAGTTAAAGTCACAAATACATTTTACCCTTTACAAGAAAAATTGTCATTATCTTGGTTTATAAAATTTGTGAACTCTTGGGGCTAGGAAGGTGGCTCAGTGGTAGAGCGCTTGCCTTGCATGCATGAAGCCCTGGGTTCGATTCCCCAGCACCACATAAGCAAAAAGAAAAAAAGCCGGAAGTGGCGCTGTGGCTCAAGTAGTAGAGCGCTAGCCTTGAGCTGAAGAGCTGAGGGACAGCGCCCAGGCCCAGAGTTCAGGCCCCATGACCGGACCCAAAAATAAATAAATAAATAAATAAAATAAAATAAAATTTGTGAACTCTATAAACTTTGATAGCTAACAGTAAGCAAAAGGAAAGAAATGTACATACCATTCAACACAGAAGAAATAACTGTATTGAGATCACATTTTTATTATGAGTCCAAAAGAAATCTATGGGAAGTTGGGGAATTTTCTTCTTCACTGCTTATGTGATAAGCTCCTACTATTTAACTCTA